GGCGTCGCAGCTCCTGGCTCCTGGTTCCATCTGACCAGGTTCGAGGGGCGACCTTGAGCCCAGGGTTCCCCCGCTGTGCCCCTCTTGCCTCATCCGCACAATGGGATTTGGGTGGGTGGAAAGGTTCCCAGAGGTCACCCGTTCCAGCCCCTTAAGGACGGGACAGTGCTGCCTGGTGTTTGGGGACTTCGATTTTCAGAAGCCCTTTGCCTTGACCCAGGCCTGTACCTCCCCTGCCTCAGTTTCCCCGGGCAGTTTCCTCTGAGGCCTGGTTCCCAGCTCTGAGTTTCTGGGTCTTGACAGGTGCCTGGCTCCCATCCCTTCCCAGCCCTGGAGACAGCACCCCCCCTGTTGCTGAGCGGCACTGACAGCATGAAGGCTCAGGTAAGCAGGGGGGAAGGACAGCTCACAGGGGGCTCGGAGGTGGCTTCCAGCATAGCAGCCTCAGTCGCCTGGCGCACCCCAGGACTGGCACTTCTGACCCCACTGTTCCTGAGCTGGGGCGAAGGGTAGACTCGCCTTAAGGCCGGCTCTGATCTGGCAGGCTGTGTGGCCCCAGACAGGTGGTGGTCCCTCTCTGGTTTCAGTGTCTTGCCCCTCTCCCTGGTAAAATGGAGATAATCGCACTGCCTCGTGTGAGCATCTCGGAGGTCACCCAGGTGAGGCACCTGCCTAGGAGTGGGCTGTGGTGTGAACGTTCAGTTTAGCTGCTCTTGACTTGATTCAGGAGCCCCTGGTTGTGGAAGAGCTCCCTCGATGTTGGGAGAGTCAGCCATCAATGCCTGAATTGAGATCGCTGGGTCCCTTGTGCACAGGGCACCAGATGCCAGGCAGAGCCTGAGTCCTCAGGGGCTGAACACTCCCCACCCTACTCCCCAGCTGGCGACACAGAGATATTTTTAGAAACTAATACAGTTTGTGGGCAGAAAAGGTTGTGTTTCATTGAGATATTCCTGGAGGGGACGATGGGGCTGCTTTTCCACCTCTGGTTTTCAAAGAGCACTAGCCTGTGCTCTGACAGGTGGCTGAGGGACCTGAGGAAATTAGAGCCCAGAGAGACACAGGTGGTGACGAGGGTAGCCCAGCACACGATGGCGGCCCTGGATCCTGACCTCCCACCAAACCAGGTGGCCCCTCCTAAAAGGCTTGGTTGGGGGCACTCACAAAGTCTGACAGCAGGGCTAGCCCTCCAGTGGGGCTTCGTGGTTCAAATGGCCTTTGGCATATGGTTTCTGGAGGCAGAGCCCCTGGACAGCAGCTTTCAATTATTGAGACCTTTCTTTCTTTCTCTATTTTCAGAGAGTGCAAGGAAGGGAGAAAGAGAGAGAATGAGAGAGAAACATCTATTTGTTGTTCCACTTATTTATATATTCATCAATTAATTCTTGTATGTGCCCTGACCAGGGATCGAACCTGCAACCTCGGTGTATTGGGACGAAAGCTCCAACCGAGCTACCCAGCCCAGGCAGCCATTTCTTGAATGACACTTCCCTCACATCCCCTTCTTGACCCCCTTACTCACCTAGACTGCTGACCCAGGTCGTGATCATCAGCTTGGCAGACTGCTCCTGAGTCAGCTGGGGGAGGGGATGGGAGATGGTCATACTAATAGCCTCCGACCCGGGTCTGACTCCTGTCCTCATTTACATAGCGCTTTACATATACAGAGCACTCTCACCACTGTGAGTTCACACTGCGGGTGTCATCGACCCCTATTTTGTAGAGGAGGAAAGAGGCCCAGAGAGGTGGAGAGTCATACCCAAGGCTGCACAGTACACCTAGGCTTCTGCTTAAGAGCATGGGCTCTGCAGCCTGGATTTGGGGTCTGACTCTGCTGTTTCATTGCTGTATGGCTTTGAGTTACACACTTCACCCCAGGTAGGTTTTGTCTACAATATAGGGCTTATCTCCAGAGCCTCCTGTACCCTGAGCCTGGCAGCCCAGAGGAAGGCTGGATTCATGGAGACTTTAGATTCTGCTGATTTTCTAGGAGCTACTGAGCTGGAGTTTGGACCCATGATACTGGGATACAGCCCCCTTGTAGAAGCTTCTAGGAGCCCCAGGGACCCTCATCTCCACCTCATGCCCACTGTCTCCCCAGGGTCGGCTCCTGCTGGTCATCCTGTGCTCCCTGGGCTTCTCTGCTGCCTACATCCTGCTGTGCTGCTGGGCCTGCCTGCCCTTCTGCCTGGCCTCCTGCCGGGGCCCCCACCTCTCCACCAACTCCAGGCCCACCCTGCCAAGGCCCCTGCACTTCAGTGGATATAGCAGAGTGCCAGATGGGAAGGTGAGTCAGCCAGGCAGCATGTTGAGGGCAGGCCAAGGATTCTGGGGTGTCCCCTGCAACTCTCTGGGTGATAGTAAGAACTGGGCTCATGCCAGGTCAGCTTAGTGATCATGCTCACCAGCTGTGTGATGTTAGCAGTCCTTTCACCTCTCTGAGCCCCAAGTTCTAAGGGGAAATGAGTTTTTTAATTCAACAAATGTTACCTGGCTGCTGTCAGCTGAGTGCTGGGGATGGGTGGGCCACGTAGAGCTCCCATGCCAGGGGGGAGACAGACATCGTGACATCCTGGTGATAGGAGCATCGTGTGCATCTTTAGATTGAACTGTGGACACATGATCCATTTGTTCAACAAGTGTGTATTTGGTTCCTTCGATGTGTTTTGCCTTGTGCTGGTTGCTCTTGGGGATAGAAGAGACACAGATAAAAGTCATGACAACCCAGAGCTGTCCCTCTTATGGAGAGACAGGGAAACTGGAGCCCAGGGTGACGAGGTATCTGAGCCCCTGCCCTGACAGCACCCACTGCCCCATGCCAGCTCTGCTGGGCGAGAGTTGAGCACTTCACACCCCTCACCCTGATTTCAGTGGCCCCACGTGGTAGGTTTCTCAAAGGCATCCTGCACTGACGCCCAGCGCAGGAAGCTCCCAGTTCTGAGTTGATGACTCTCTGAGTGTGGGTCAGAGGGAGGTGAGCTCAGGGACCCTGGATTGGAGGAGACCTATTTCAGGTCTTCATTCCTCTGAGCCTCAGTTGTAAAGGATGGTCGTGTAGTTCCTCTCTGTAGGGTTGCTGTGAAGGTTCAACTCGGTGATTCTTGGACAGTGTTCAGGACAGGTGCTGTAGGAATAGTTCATCAAGATGCAAAAGCAACCGGGGGGGCACACAAACTCGAGTGCCCCACAGGTCTGGCCAGGGAGGGACAGATGCTGCGGTGGGCTGGTGGACCCTGTCCTATCTTCTATGTGGTGACCAGTGTTCATTTCAGACACTCTGAGCTCATAGAGGTGTGGACTCAGGGTAGCTAGATCGTCTGGGTTGTTAAGAGAAGCAGGAAATCCAAGTCTTGAATGTCAAGAGGGTTGGTTTTTATAAACTAGGGATTAATTAAATATTTTAAAGACTGTGCAGGACAAGCAGAACATCTCCTGGGGCTGGTGGTGAGCTTGGATCTGAACAAACCCCAGTTGTCAGGATAGGCTCACATTGAAGGCAGAAGGAAGCCTTGTTCTTTATTCCTGCAGTTTGGAAATGGTTCTACAAGTTCTTAAATCAACATGATATGAAATGTCCCTGAGTGGGATATGACAGTGTGTCTTTTATTAACTGGAATTAATGTTCCATATCCTTTGCAGGCCTTTGTAAACTCGCCTTCCCCCAGGAGGGCATGGAGGCCTGGGGCAGGGAACAAATCCTCTCCTGGGAGACCTGAGTCCTGACCCCAAGTGAATATTTGCAGGCTGGTTGGCTCTGCTTCTGCCTCTTGGGGGATCTTGAGATGGGGATTGGGCCCTCACTGTGCCCTAGCTCTGTGTCGTAACTCTCCACGCATTTTAAATGGAATCCTCAAAATCTAGTCAAGTGGATGCTATTTTTATCCCCATTTTACAGATAAGGGAATTGAAACTCAGCAAGGCAAAGTGACGTGCCTGAGGTCATACAGCTAGAAAGGGGCAGAGCCAGGATTCAGGCTCAGAACCAGAGGCTCCCAACATTGTCCTGGGCACTAAAGGCTCTGCTGTTACTTAGTAAACTGGACACATGGGTGAAGCTCAGGCAGAGGAAGGAGTGACTAAGTGATTTTGAAGAGTTGAAATTTATGTTTACTTAACAATCACATATATGGCACCCAGCCTGTGGCAGACACAGCGCTAAGTGCTTTATAAATATTTGCTTCTGTAACCCTAATGAAGAATTCATGATGAAGGGCTGGTTAGGGCCTCCGCAGTAGGGACATGGGCTGTGTCTGGCTAATGAGGAAGCACAAGGCTCTGAACTGGAACCTCAGCTCTGCCACTTGCTGTTGGTATGACCTTGGGGAAGTCACTCCACCTACCCAGCCTGTTTCCTCATCTTTGTAAAATGGGTGGATAAAGTACTTTGAGTTGATCCAGGGGTCAAGTGAGGTCAGTGGGTGTTTCTGGGGAGGAGGAAGCAGGGACCGTAAGTTAGGTGCCCACACCCTTCTTTCTCTCTCCCCTCCCCTGCAGCCGCTGGTCCGAGGGCCCTGCCACAGCTGTGCCGTGGTGTCCAGCTCGGGCCAGATGCTGGGCTCGGGCCTGGGAGCCCAGATCGACGGTGCCGACTGCGTGCTGCGCATGAACCAGGCACCCACCTCGGGCTTCGAGGCAGACGTGGGCCGGCGCAGCACCCTGCGCGTGATCTCGCACACGACGGTGCCGCTGCTGCTGCGCAACTACTCCCACTATTTCCAGCAGGCCCGCGACACGCTCTACGTGGTGTGGGGCCAGGGGAGGAACATGGACCGCGCGCTGGGCGGCCGCACCTACCGCACGCTGCTGCAGCTCACCAGGATGTACCCGGGCCTGCAGGTGTACACCTTCACCGAGCGCATGATGGCCTACTGCGACCAGGTCTTCCAGAACGAGACGGGCAAGAACCGGTGAGCGCCCCGCGGGTCGCCCTGGCCGCTCGCAGTCCGCCTGCCCTCCTGGGGCGCGGGGAGCAGAGAGACTGTCGTTCCTCACATTCGGACATAGATCGAGGATCCCACGTGGTGGCGGGTGGCATCCGGCCTTGCAAGCACCAGCCAGCGCGGGGCAGGGGCAGCGAGCTCTCCCTCTGGAAGGGGTGCTCTGAGACCTGAATTGGTCTGGGAAGTCCCCTCCAGAAAATAAAGGAGCAGTTACAGCCCTAGCAGCCAGCTTCGTGCCCCGGGCACTGGGCTAAGTACCACATCCAAGATCTCGTTTTATCCCGGCCTCTTCCTCCCCTGCCCCCAGCTCAGGAAATACAGCTGCCAGCCTCCAGTTTTCCACCCAACTCCCCTCACTCCATCACCTGCCACGTACGATGGGGCCTTGAATCTCCCGTAGGTGCCACCATCCTCCCTGTCCTTGCAGCACCCCCATCTCTTGTTCCTGCTGACACCCGTAGTCTGAGCTCCATCCGCCCCAGTGAATTCACCCCATAATTTACCCACCCTCAACCTCACAGCAGCTTCGGTTCACATGGAAAATAAAATCCAAACTGCCCCCCCCTTCTTTGGCCTACCAGGCTTGCATGATCTGGCCCCTGCCTGCCCTGCTCCAGCCCTTCTGGGCGCCTGGGCTTCCTCACACACGCACACTGGTTCTCACCTGCATGCCTTCGCATACATCGTTCCCTCTGCCTAGAGGGGTCTTCCCCCAAATCTCCCCATGAGTGACCCTTTCTTGCCGTTCAGGCCCGGGTGGAATGTCACCTCCTCAGAGCAGCCCTGCCTGACCACCCCACCTGATGATCACCTCCCACCCGGTAGCTTTATTCCTTTGTTTCCTTGTCTTCTCAGTTGTTCCCTCCCAGCTGCCCCCTTCTTTGAGAATGTTAGTGTTGGGTATGGCAGGTTCCTGGGCAGCACAAGGCCTGGGAGGTGCTTGCTTTGAGGGACTGAACCACCTCATAATGCCTCTGTAGAGGTGGAGGTGAGTGGCCCTCAGCTGGGACAGTAACCAGTGCTGGTGTCTTGAGAGAGTGGAGGCCCGGGGTGGCCACACAGCCCCTTGTTCCGAGTTAGGAGTGAAGGCATGGGGGTTGCTGCTGGGGCTGACAGGGTTCCTCCCCATAACCACCTATAATTGTTCCCATTTCATAGATGGGCCCACTGAGGCTCAGAGAGGTTCATGAGAAAATCTGATACCCCAGAGCAGGTACGGGCTTCGAATCAAAGACCATTTACTCCAGACAACCCCCTTTCCCACTTTCAACCACTGCTCTGCTGCCTCCCACTCTCTTCCCAAGTTTGGTCCCTTAGATACAGAGAGGATGTGACCAGGGCCCCCACACCATCGTCCAAAGGTTTGTACAAGCCCTGTGTGGGTGGTGAGGAGTTGAACAGACCTGGGTTTGTGTCCAGCTCCACCTCTGTCCCCTCTCCAGCCTTCCCCAAGACCCCCTCTGTAAGGGTCAAGGTGAGCAGCCTTCAGCTGGGAGGGTAACCAGTGCTGTGCCTTGAGAGAGCAGAGGCTAGGGCCTCCACAAGCCCCTTGCTCTGAGTGAGAGTGGGGAAGTGACTGTGTCTTTCCCCTGCCAGGAGGCAGTCAGGTTCGTTTCTCAGCACCGGCTGGTTCACCATGATCCTTGCCCTGGAGCTATGCGAGGAGATCGTTGTCTATGGAATGGTCAGCGACAGCTACTGCAGGTCAGTCCAGCCAGGCCCTGGGCAGGAGGGGAGCTGGGGTGGCTGGGAGGACCTTGGGCCTCACACCCGAGGATCTAGGAGCTGTGGGGTGGAGGGTGTGTGGGCTTCCTAGTGGGTGGTGGAGACACAGACATCCCTTGAGCTGGTGCCCAGGGAGAATGGGCTCAGCCTCTGGGATAGGCTTGATACCAATCTCCACTCTGCCGGTGTGGCCTCAGGCCAGTCACGCCACCGCCAGGGCCTCCATTTCCTTATTGTGAAAGAGAGAAGGTTGTAGAAACATTCACGCAGCGAACAGTCTACAGAAGCACTTACTGCAGCATAGGGGCCGAGCATATGTCAGTGATGTAGTGCACCTAAGTTTTTACTTTTAATGTTATATTTGAGTGTTATTGTAACTAACAAGTTCAGAAAGGATCCCATGTTTTCACCCTCTCTTTGGAACTTATTTGTTGAGTATGTGGGTGAAATGGTAGGAGCCTGTGTGCCCTCTGCCAAGGCACCTGGCCAGACCACCTGCGTGCATGGTGCCAACAAGTAGGTGGGTATGTGTCGCAGGGCTTGAGGGGTTCCTCACCAGGAGCCCAGCACCAGTAGGCACTTCATAGTCTTCATCTTTTTGACCTATGGACTCAGCATGGAAGGTGGATTCCCATTTTACAGATGGGTTATTGAGGTTTACCAGATATGTCTCTGGCCTGTAGTCAGCCAGCTTGCAAGAGGTGGAGCTGGGGCTCAAACACTGGCCTTTGGGATGTACAAGCTGTCCTGCCCCTCCCCTGTGTGTCCTGGCCTCCCCTGAGACCAGGCATGGGACTCCGTGGGCCTGTAGTACTTGGTGAGGGTGGCCGAGGTAGGTGCAGAGTCTAGCGGGAGGCGGGAGAGCTCTGGTGCCCCACGCCTGTCCCTGCTCCCCACCCCGCAGGGAGAAGAGCCACCCCTCAGTGCCTTACCACTACTTCGAGAAGGGCCGGCTGGACGAGTGTCAGATGTACCTGGCACATGAGCGGGCGCCCCGCAGCGCCCACCGCTTCATCACTGAGAAGGCTGTGTTCTCCCGCTGGGCCAAGAAGAAACCCATCGTGTTTGCCCACCCGTCCTGGAGGACCCAGTAGCCCCACTGCCCGGCTGGCCGCATTGCTTTCACCAGGCCTCCGTTCCATTCACACTCCACCAGAAACATTTAATTTATGGATCCTGCCTCTGCCAATGCCGGATGGACCTAGGGATCCTTCCTGCCCTAGCCTGGGGACACTTGGAGCCATCTCGGGTCTCCAGACTTGAAGGGGAGAAGAGGGGGCCATAGTGGCCTTTGTATACTCCTCCCCACCCCCACTCCCTGAGTAATCTGAATCTTAATTTTGGGGTTTATCCCACCTCGGGGTCTGTCCAGTGGCCTTTGCCAACAGGGCTGATGGTCCCCCACTCACCAGCTTCGTGACCTTCAACCTTGTACCAGCCCTGGTCCTTCCTCTCTACACTCCCCCTCCACCCACCTTTGGTGCCACACTTCCAAGGCTGGTTGCCCTGGTCAGGGCAGCCCAGAGCTTGGGGTTCCATAGGCAAAGGGGCCTTTGAACTGTGACTTGCCAGGGTCACCTCGAGTGTACGGGTAAATGTGTTTTCTGGAACTCTGTCTGAAGTGTGTTTGTGTCTGAGGCTAAGAGTGGGGGCTCCTCACCCTGCCACAATCCCATAACCTGTTGACTTGAGGGCAGGCCAAGACCTGGGGCCCTTCCCCAAACCCGGCTGCCTGGGCTTCTGGCCATTTAATCTGCCTGTGTGTTTCTTCCCTGAGAGCCTGCCACCTTCCCCACCAGGTCAGAGTCTGGCCCTGTGCCTGTGCTTGGCATGTCCCAACTCAGAGGCTTCCATGGGACTCCTGCCCTGCACCCAGGGGGTAGTAAGAGGAGAGTAAGGCCTGGACGGAAATGATTCAGGGTGGGAAGGAAATTGCTCTACCCCACATATGCCCTGGTCCAGGGTCAAATTCCAAGGACTTCCGGTTAAATTCCCTTAACTCTGGAGTGGGTTACACTGCAAGAAAGGAAGTCTGGGAGGAGGGGCAGCCCGAGGCTTGCCTTCTCTGAGCTTTGCTCTCCTCACCCGTAAAGTGGAGAAAGCTGGCCCACCAGCAAACAGTTAGCAAGGGCATGCAGCCAACCTGGGAGAGGGGCTCGTGGCCCACTTTACAGATGAGGCGAAGCCACTAGGCTGAGCTAGGATGGAGTCCCAGGTCTGAGAGCTGAGCCCGACTGTCTGGGCCCTGAACCAAGGTGCTAAAAAGAGTCCACAGGCTTCACTTGCCCTCCCTCTCCCCTCCTTCATCTGGAGACCAGGACACTGACTAATGGAGGACCAGATTCCCAGACTTCAGGCTCAGCTGGGACGGAGCCCTGGGGTCCAGCTTCCAGCTCCAGGAGTCGGCCACTTCGTGGGTGTGACCTGTGCAGTTGCCCTGGGAGATCTAACCTTGTTTAGTTTAATGCTCTGCTGATGCTGACTTGAAAGTCTAATGAGTTTTTTTGTTTTTTTTAACAAGGAGCTGCACATTTTTACTGGACCACACAAATTATGTAGCTGGTTGTCCTTAAGGAGTCTGGTGACCTTCTCAAGAGAGGCTGGAGTCCTGGCATCTGGCCCACAGCACTGCCTTCTGTGCCCTGCCTCCCCCGACTGTGCCAGGCAGGCCCAGAAGGCTCTGCAGGAGCCGGAGGGGGGAGGAGAGCCCCGAGCTGGGGGAGCAGGGAGCGCAGCCGTGGGAGGGAGCAGGCTGGCAGCTGCACCACAGCTGCTGGCCTGGCAGCGGTGGTGTCGGGGCAGGTGTCGGGCAGAAGGAAGGGTGGGTGGAGGAACTGGGCTCCGAGGGAGGCCTCGGCGTCAGACCTGCCTCACCTCGCTCTGGCTCTACTTCCTGCCGTGGGTCTCTGGCAGATTAGTGCCTCTTTCTGGGCCTCAGTTTCCTCGTCTGTAAAACAAGTTGTCCCTGCCTCTCAGGATTGTATGAATTCAGAGAGACAGCACCTGTAAAGTGCCTGTCCCCAGGGCTGACACTTGATATGTGGGGTTGCCTTTCCTCCTTGGTGGTGACAAATGGGCATGAAAACCTCCCACGCCCATCAGCTCTCCCAGCCTACAGTCTCATCCTTGGGCTCCACGGCTCAGGGGCCACTGCTTCTGATGGGACTCAAACCAAAGCCCCTCCCAGACGGTTGCCTCCTCCCACTCCATCCCCTGGAATATACTGGCTTCACCCTCGGGCCCAGTGACAGAGGTGCCCCTGTCCTGGCCCTGCCCCTCAGGCAGCGTGTTTACTGCTGGGTTGGTTCAAATAATGTGTATTTTTGGCAGGAGCCATCCACCAGTTACTTCCTCCTGGAAGACATCCTCCAGTTGGCTCCTGGCTGGTCTGGTGACTGGCTCCAGCCTGCTGAAGACTCACTGAGGACCCCCTTCTCTGCCACTGCAGTTCCGGCAGCTTGGGGCAGGGAGAGGGGGGAAGTTGTGGCAGGAGCCTCCTCTCAGCTCTGAGGAGTGTGATGGGGGGCATCTTGGTGTGCAGGCCCTCTTTGGGCCTAATGGTGCAAAGATTGCTAAGGGGCAAGAAGGGAGGTGACACCCAGGATCCCCGCCCTGGGGCAGGAAGGCTGAAGCAGAGGCCATCTCCCCAGATCATGAGCAGCTCAGGGTGGGGGAGAATCAGGACTGGCCATAGCCGCCCATCCATGAAGGTCCTGGCCTGGGTGTGGCAGGCCTGGGGCTTCAGAGTGAGACGACTGCTGGCTATTCAGCTTCCACCCCGTGTACACTCTGAGCTCCACTTGTCCCTCTAGAGAGTGGTGGCAACAGCAGTACCCATTTCCTAGGTTATTTTAAGGATTCGGTGAGGTTTGCTTGCAAAGTGCTTATCACAGGAGAAAGTGCCCGACACTCAGGGGCTGCTGTTTCTCTTAGGCTTGTCATTGAAGTGGTTGTTTTTGTTCTTGGGCAGTAGGGCAAACTCAGAAAGAATTTGGAGGGTTTGGCTAGAAATAAATGATAAAAATTTGTTCAAGAGTCTTAGGGCTTGCAAACTGGAAAGACAGGCAATGCCCGGAATGTTTCAGAGAAGAAAGCAAGCTGAGGGCTCTCATAGTAAAAGTACATTCCTGAGAAACATCACACTTACATTCTTAGCGTTGGGATTGGCGCCAGATGGCCACCCTCTGTGACTGCTGCTCAGGAGGCTGGACGTCAGGTGGTCTAGATACGTGAGCATCCTTTCCTTGTCCTTCAGGGTGTAATCAGAGGGTTATCTGGAGGTTTGATGTATATACAGGCATTCATGTGGGACTTAAAAGTTTAAATTCCCAGTAAAACAAGAATAGAATTATTTCCTCATACCTCAACCTACTCGATTTTAGTAATTTAGCAGCTTGACTAGAGTGGCTCCATTTTATTTCTTCACTCTGTCCCTCAGGGCCCAGGAAAGGTAAGCCAGCCCCCACCGCAGACCCTCTTGGAGATGCCTGGCCCGGGGAGACAAGGCAGGCCTGAGGGGGGAGCTCCAGGCCCGGATTTGGTCTAGGAGCAGGGCTGCTGCACCCTCATTTCCAGAGGTCATTGGCCTGGGTCAGGGAGAAGGGCTGGGGACAGGATGCCCCACCCTAGGGCAGCCTCCAGCCTGCCGGCTGACCTCTGGCAAGGGGCTCCCCTCTTCCGAGCGCCAGCAGTGGGGCTCCTCAGGCTTCCTGCCTGACTGCCCTGGCCCCTGCCCTGTGGTTTTCCATGCGGGCAGGCAGCCAAGGGGGGCAGGGGACGGGCTGAGGGTCAGCAAGCAGATGGAGGTGGACACCCGAGGGGCAGGAAGCCTTGAATGCACCCTTGGCCCTCCCCCGGTGGGCTGTCTCCACAGCCTGGAAGCTGGACCTAGCCCTGTCCCCTTTTGTTTTAAAAACAAAGTAGTATTAACTGGTCAAATTAGTCCCATGCAAACAACCTGGAAGTTCATAAAACAAAAAGTGAAGGTAGCACCCACCCATTCCACCCCGCATCCACTCCCCAGGGGAAACTACTGCCAGTAGCCCCTCGTAGACTCTTCCAGATACCTTCTGTGTGCATTTACAAACATACCCGCATCAACAGATGGATTTCTTAAAAAAGGAATCATGCTATATGTGCAGTTTATTTTTTATAAATTAAAACTACGTTTTTAAATATAAACATTGTAGAACCAATATCTTAAAATTTTTGGAAAATAGAGTTAAGCCAAAAGAGAGAGAAAAAGCAGCCTATAATCTCATCATTCCAGAAATATCCACCATTAACACTCTAATCACTATGAAAGGCAAAAAGTATGTTCTTACTTTCATTTCTCTTTCCTTTTTTCCATATCTTTCTTTTAAAATACTGTGACAGCCCCGGCCAGTGTCTCAGTGGTTAGAGCATCGGCCTACGTGCCGAAGGGTCTCCAGTGTGATTCCTGATTCCCAGTCAAGGGCACATACCTGGGTTTCAGGTTCAATCCCGGCTCCAGTCCCAGCTCCGGTAAGGGTAAGTGCAGGAGGCAACCAATCGATGTGTCTCTCTCACATTGATGTTTCTCTCTCACTCCCTTCCCTCTCTCTCTTCCGCTTGCTCTAAAAATCAATGGGAAAAGTATCCTCGGGTGAAGATTACAAAAAATATATATATATAATATATGGTGATGGGAGAAGATATGACTTTGGGGGGTGGGCACACACAGCAATAAACAGATCTTGTAACATAGAAACCCACACCTGAAACCTATATGTTCACATTAACCACTGTCACCCCAATAAATTTAATTTAAAAAAATACTGTGGTACACACAAATGGCAGCATTTATCAATACCTGTAAGTTATAAAACATAATATAATGAACCTGTTGAGCCCATATCCCACTTAAAGACCAGACCTTTACTAGAAATTCACACCCCAGTGTTTCCTCCCCTCTCCCACATCCCTGCCTCCCCAAGAGAGACAACTGGTTTCTTGACTTTTGCTTTGAAAACTTGGATCACTCTGATAGGCAAAAGCTATCTTCTGTCCCTTCAAGAGGTGGCCTACTGCCTGCTATATATGCGCAAACAATACATTGTGTAGTTCATTTGTCTTCTGAGACTTGTCTTTTTCACTCCTTATGTCTCCAAGATTCATCCTTACAATTGTAGCGATTCATTCCCTCACCCCATCCCACCCCCGCTATTTAATATTCCACACTGTGAAGGTACCACATGTAAAAAAATTCCATTCTCCCGTTGATAGATACATGGGCTGTTTCCACTTTAGCATTATTTCAAGCAAGGCTGCTGTGAGCTTTGACGTGGACACGTGCAAGAATTTCTCCAGAGTATAAACCCAGGAGGGGAAAGCACATTTTTATATCTTTGTTTTCCAAAGGGATTATAGAGATGCCACTCTATAACCTGCTTTCTGCACTTAAACAGCCTGTAAACATTGTGGCCAACTCTGTCAGGCCTGTAAACATTGTGGCCAACCCACCGTTCACCCAGCAGGGCCGTGCCTTCATTCAGCAGGCCCCTATCTCGGCCACCGGTTATTTTCACTGTCACATAAAATGATGTAATGAATACCCCGAAACGTCAACAACATTTTTAAACCTTACAACACCCTCCGAGGTGGTGGTTCGCCCTATTTTCCAGGCAGGCAGGGGGAGGGGAAGTCATGCGCCCAGCCCACACAGCTAGAGAGGACCGAGCTGGACTTGAATCCAAGGTGGACCCTGAGTTCACTCGGGGCGACTGCTGGGTGCGCGGCCCTGGAGGTCCTGGGTAAGGGAGCCCAGAGAGAAACTCAACTGATTCCAAGCGCAGTGCGCTCTGGGACTCAGTTTCCCCATTTCGGTCATGGTGACAATAAAGCGAGATAGAAGTGGGCATGGCCCACACTAAAGGGCTCCGGAAGGCTATTTTTATTGCCACTGCGGCGGCCCAGAGGAGTAAGCAAGGCGCTCGCGTGGCCCGGCCCAGGGTCGCCCGCCCCTCGCCCTTCGCCCCGGCGCTGCCCGGGGCGGAGCCAGCCGCAGCCCCTCGAGGCT